CGGTGTGAGACACATAGAGTGGTCCCAGACAAGAAGCTGAGTGGCTCATTACCTAGGGGAATCAGAGGTTTCTTAGAGGAGGAGGTGATACCAGAATCAGGTCAAAGGGATAGAACCTGACTCTAACCCAGCGTCTACGAGTAGATCTACCTGCTAATTCGTAGGAAATGCCAAGGACAGAGATACTTGAACTGCCCTAAGTGTTTGCAGGCAGCAACGTCTAAACTATGGGGAAATCTATAGATCAAATGGACCAAGTTCCTCAACAAGATGCACTGCAAGGAAATGAAAGGGACAGAAGAGTATCCTAGTGACTGAATAAAAAAGGTTAAAGGATATATCAATTTTCAAAATGAGCGAAGGTAAACTCTAGGTATAAAGATGCAAAGATGCTCAATTAGGTGATAAGGAAAAATGCAAGGAAGTGATTACTATAAAAGTAGGGAGCATGGCTAACTTCTGGCTGTGAGGAAGTGTGATTGGGAGGGGGGCAAATGAAAGAGGTTTCTAGGGTGTCTGGCAAAATTCTCTGACCTGGATGGTGTTCTTAGAATTCATTAAGACAGTCACTTGATGGGTGTGTTTTTTTGAATCTGTTTTATTGTACAATAAAAGATTTAAAAACAGACATCTCCAGGGTGGAATACTGAACTAAAACCGATGGCATGAGGCAAAATATATATATACGTATATATGTGCCAGACTCTTCTTTTAAGTTAAATAATATTCACTCACAGGAAGGAAAAGCCTGACCTAAAGTAGTTTGTTTATATTTTCTAAAACGGCCTGGAAGTTTTTGCTGCCCACCATGGCTGTGTTTTGCCTGCATGGTTCTCAAACTGCAGTACCAGAGGTCCCGTGTGCTATTCTAGACCCTGGGGGGAACAACTGGGGGCAGGGGCAGGGGGCGGTGTGAGCAAGGGGCAACTGGCAGGACACAGGCCCTTGCAGCTCTAGTCCTGCCCATCAGGAAGCACTTACTGTAACTCTCTGGATTATGAGCCGGAGGTCACATAGATCCTATCGTGAGGTTGCAAGGACCAGGCTCCACTGTGAAAGGGGCTACTATGATTCACCACCTTGGCAGCCATGAGCGAGATGGGTGGGGCAGCTTGAGGTCCCCTTGCTTCTCCAAGGTCCGGGTTCTGAGGTAGAAACTTGGAATCTTAGGCCACAAGCTATTTTGAAAATACCTTTTTTGACTTGCGAATTTTACAACAAAGGAGGTTGAAATCCAGGGTATGTAAGTGGTTTAATAGAGGTCATCCAAGCAACTCAAGCTAGGTGTCCCCTTCTGTCTCTGCCCTCACCCTTTAAGCCAAGAACCGACCACAGAACTGAGTGTAAATACCCACAGGCCTTCAAGGTGATTGCAAGACCTCTTTTCTCCCATGCTCACCTTGGGGTTTGTATGTGACCAACCTTAACCTGGGATCCATACCTGACCCCTGCCTCTGGCCCTTCACCTTTGGGGACCCATGTCTCCCCCCAACATCTCTATGTTGACCTCTTTTGTACTTTGACCCTCTTTTATTGACTTTGGCTAAGAAGATCTCTTCCATTTATTGGAGTCTTAGGGGGAAAAAAAATCATCAATATATTTCCCTGCTGCCTGAGCCTTATACCCCATCTTTTGATAACCCTACACACCACCTCAAAGAGACCCTGCTGGCTTTCAATCCATCTGAAGCCTCCTATGGTCAAGTACGCAATAAGGCCTCCAAAAAGGCAATGCGACTTTTTGGTCACATTAACAGAAGTATAGAATGGAGAATGAGGGGGTTGGAATTTCATTAATGAGACCATATCTGGAGTAGTATATTCAGTGCTGAGTGTCACAATTGAAGAAGGGTACAGACATTCTGGAGTGTATCAGGAATGGGAGGGACTCAGCATCATGTCACATTAAATTAGGTGGCTTGTCCTTGAGATGACTTGGGGAGTGCCATAGCTGGCCGGGGGCCAGACTCAAAGGCTCAGCTCACAAGGGCTGGGAAAGGAATAAACGCCCACCAGCGGAACGATGTCGTTGGCCTCTTAGACAAGAAGGCAGGCGGCAAGCGCCGTATGGGTAACACACCTTTCAAGGAACAAACAGAAACCAGAAAACACCACTGTAGAAAACTCGAACGCCCTTTCTGGAAAGTTCTCCCGCACGCTAGCTAGATATGCAAAACCAGCAAGACCGGTCACCCGCCCCATCCCCCACGCCCCCTACGTTGGCGACCATTGCCTAGGGCGGGACCTTCATCTCCGGTCTCAGGGTCCCCACCAGTAGCACAGGGATCCCAGACAAGTCTGCCCTGCGCAGTGCGGCTGGAGGAGTAGAGCTACGGGAAGATGCACGGGGGTGGGCGGTGGGCAGCAAAGCGCAGAGTGGCCAGGGTCGAGCACATCTGCAAGTGGTCCCGCGAGCCCCAGCATGCTGGCCAGGCCTGCGCTCCTGGCCCCGGAGCCTGGGGAGAGGATGGATTTGGAAGACGGACTGAACAGAATCCGAAATTTAGAAAAAAAAAGTCTCGTAACAGTAGGAAGGGACAGCACACGTGAGGACACCAAAGCCCCACTGCCAAACCCCGACCTCAGATCCTAGGCACGGACGGGGTTCGAACCCGCGATCTTCGGTTTACGAGACCGACGCCTTACCACTTGGCCACCGCGCCTGACAGCCGAGCAGTCACTGAAAGCTCTCAGTGGAGGGGAGGCGGCACCAGCGCGGGAGGGGTGATGCTCCGCCCCCGGCCCCTCCTCTGGCCCCACCCCCGGCCTAGCTGCTCGCCCGCCCCTCCAGACCCGCCAGCCAGGACCCCTCCGAGAGAGTGGCTCCTGCCCACTCTGGGCCAAAGCCAGGCGCCAGTGTCCCGCTAATGGCAGGACCCAAACCCACGGCTCTTGAGAGCCCAGCCCGGGCCGGCCTTCAGCACCCGCAGGGGCAGGGATCCGGAGGAGAGCCCAGGTGGAGACAGCGCGGAGCGGAAGCGGAGACAGCAGCCGCGAGCCAGCCACGCAGGGCCTGGCGTCTGTGCTGGCGTCTCAGCCCGCTCCGTGCACTGCCATGTGACGTTGGCCCGCTCATTTCTGTCCTGCTGGCAGCTTACGCGGGCAGCACCAGGAGCTCGGGCCAAGTCAACCGGGAGCCGAGGGGGCTAAAAGGGCAATGCAGGCGTGGATGGGCCCGGCCCTCCGAGAAAGATGCAGGGAGCTGGGAGGGATGGGGCAGGCAGCAGGGGTGGGGGACGTGACTTTCCCCGGGTTGCTTTCCCTCCCTCCTTGCCCTTCAACCCCTGACATAGGCCTTGTACAGCAGGCTCCGATTAAATATCCTGTTAGACAAGATGGCCTTGCCCAGGATGAGCCCATGTGGGCGCACAAGGAGATGTTCAGGGCGACAATGCAAGTGAGAGTGAACAATTGAAAGCGACCTGAATGGAGGAGGAATCTGATAGACTGTTCAGCCCATGGAACAGTTGGCCACTATTAAAAGGAATCATCTAGATTCAAAGGAATGATTATCAGCATAGAGTGCAAAAATATGTGATTTAAAAAAGTTGTAGGACAAATGCCATTTATTAAAGGGGAAGACATACAAAGTAGGTAAAAGTAAAAACATAAAGGAGGGAGGGAGACTGGCGAGGCACAGGGGACAAAAGGGACTTTATTGGTAAGGTTTTGTTTTTAGTCTATGAAAGAGGTAAAAAGCTGAAATGGTAGGAATCGGAGTGCTTATTATGATACTGGACACTTTTTTGTAGATACTGTATTTTCTTTAAATCAAAAAAAGAAGGCACTTCTTTTCGTTCCCCCTGTCCTTGTTTGGCCTTGTCTGGCCACTGCGTCTGTTCCAGGAGGGGTGCTTAGGATGGCAGAGGAAGAGCCCTCGTCTCAGGGGAGGGTGGGGCCAACTGCCAGCCTCCCTCTGGGCCCATCCTCCTGTGCCCAGCGACCAAGGAGGAGACAAAAGCCAGGCCAATCGCGACATTGCCCACTTTGCCACCACCACCCCAAAGCCATCCTTGCTTATTTGTAGAACTTTTTAAAAAAGTATAGATTGTGGAGATTTGGGGAAACCCAGGAAAACTACTTTTGTGTGTGGCAAAAAACACGTAAAATTTACCATCTTACCCATTTTTAAATGTACAGTAGTGTTAACTCTATGCACATTGCTGTGCAACAGATCTCTGAAACTTTATCATCTTGCAAAACTGAAACTCTATACCCATTGAACAGCAACTGCGCTTTCCCCCTACCTCCAGACCCTGGCAACCGCCATTCTACCTCCTGTTTTTAGGAGTTGGCTACTCAGGGTACCTCATATAAGTGGAATCACACAGTATTTGTCTTTTTCGTGACTGGCATAATGTCACTTAGCATAATGTCTTCAAGGTTCATGCCACATGTTGTCACATATGATATGATTTCCTTTTCAAAGGCGCAACGATATTCCATTGTGTTTCTTTATCCATTCATCCCACAATGGACATTTAGTGAATAGCGCTGCAGTGAACATGGGTTTGCAAATATCTTGAGATCCTCTCTACAGTTCGGGACTATACCCAGAAGTGGGATTGCTGGATCATATGGTAATGCTAGTTTTAATTTTTTGAGGTACCTCTATGCTGTTTTCCATAGTGTCTACACACTTTACCTTCCCACCAGTAGTGCACAAGGGTTCCAATTTCTCCACATTCCTGCCAATACTTGTTTCCTTTGGTCGTTGTTGTTTTATAATGGCCATCCTAATGGGTATGAGATAGTATCTGATTGTGGTTGGATGATTTGTATTTCCCTAATTAGTGATGTAGAGCATATTTTCATATGCTTGTTAGCCATTTATATATCTTCTTTGGAGAAATGTCTGTTCAAGTTTTTGCCAATTTATTATTTGGGTTACTTATTATTTTTTTGGAGTTCTTTATATATCTTGGATATTAGCCTCTTATGAGATATCTGGTTTGCAACCATTTTCTCCCATTCTGTAGGTTGGCTTTTCACTCTGTTGNTCCTTTTGGAACTCAAGGCGGTTCTGCCGCAGCTTGTCCATCATGCGCTTGTACAGGTCCATCTCATCCTTGAGACGCAGGCTGGTGTCCTCCAGCCGGTCGGACATGCGCTGCCGCTCCTGAAGCCGGGGAGACCAGGTCAGTGCAGACGAGTTCCCAGAGGGGCTCACTACGTGTACCCCAGGGACTTCGCTGAGGCCATGTCAGCCACTTTGACAAATGGGCCATCAGAGCAGCCCCCTAGACAGAGCCACAGCCTAAGGAATTGGCCATATCCCCTAGGATTCTAGAAACATAGCTGGAAAAATCTCAGGCCTCTGAAGTCCTTCAATGAAGCCAGATGAAACTTGGGCAGAAGGTGGCAGCCCAAACAGAAGCTAACCTCTCTCTTTTTTATTATTTTCCCCCCATTATATAAGGAAATATATCCTAGAAGATATTTATTTTCCAGTAGAAAATATGGAAAACCAGAAATACAGAAAGATAAATTATTCATATTTTGTTGCCTTCCCCCTGACCCCCCCGCCCAAGAGCAATATTACTAGAATTTCAGGAACCAGAAACTAAAGCCTCTGACAGCCAACGCTGCGTCTCTCTGGATTTGGCTCAAGATCCCAGTCGGCGAGACGCCCGGCCCCGCTGCTCACCTCATCCAGCTTCTCTGTTTGCGACTTGAGCCGAGTCACTGTTGTTCTAAGCTCCATATTTTCTTCCTCTAATTGCTGCACCCTGGGGAAAGGAGGACAAAAATGGCAGAAATGGAGATCATCTTACAATGTGACAATCTGCAGCGATCCTTGGTTCCCTGGAGGAGGAAAGACACCAGAAAGCAAGAGAGAGAATATAAATAATGAGTTCACATGGTAACATAGCTTCCCGTCATCCAGCAAAATGGCAGACACTGAATCACCATCCTTACTTTTCATGATAAAAGGAAACACTCATTTGTAAATAAGAGCATGATTCTTTTTGCATGCATCCTTAGGACTTGAAAACAACACAGGGGGCGTGTTTTTCTCCTAATGGAGACAAAGTCTTCCTGTGGCTTTTTTCCAACAGGGCCCTCCTGCTGGAACATGTAATTTGAAGGCAGCCACCATATTTGTTTTCCATTCTCCCCCCAGCATCTCATCCGGGGCCCTTCCCTCTGAGCGCCCATTATAGCTGCCTCTGACATCCACAAGCATTGGTTCCAATGGCCACAATCCTCCATGTTAGCATTCACAAGGGGCTGTCCTACCGTGAGCCCACGAAGACAGTCCAGGTGCCCAGGTCGGTTTTAAATGACCTGAGCAGAGGGGCAGGTGCGCTGGGCTGTCAGTGGCACCAGAACTGTGCAGGGTCATTTCCGACACCCGTGCCTGCAGGGCATTCCCTCTCCTTCCCACTGTCACCTCCTCCTTCCTGGAGAGATGGCTTCCTGGTCTCCACTGCCCTCTGGGCTCCCCAGGCGAGGCCCCCAGGCCAGGCCAGACAGGAATTCGGACACACGTTCTGACGAGGCCACCTCAGGGGGACCCGAAATGGTGGGGGATGTGAGGGACAAAAAACACCGCATGACTCTGTCTCCGTGTTCTATGTGAACAGTCCCCCCTGGAGTTGTGCAAGGGGCACGGGTTAGGAGACAGCTCCCAAGAGGGCTGGCTTTCTGTGCTTTGGCCTTTGGCCCACACTCACCCTGTCTCCTGCCACCCATGTCCCAGATACCCTCTCTCAGGCCGGCCGACCTGGCCAGCTGTCAGAAGCAGACAGAGCAGTGATGCTTCATGAGGTATCAGCCTCCAGAACCAGATGCAAGACAGCAGCTTCTAGAACACGAGTAAAAACTTAAATGAACCCCTGGTTGATAAAGTGAACCAGGTGGGTCTCA